GCTTTACCATCTCACTTGATTCGAGTACCCTGTCCAGTGCACGCGAAGTTTAGTCAGTTCACCCGGTTGCCTTTGCACAGACTGAGTATGCATGTTATCTCAAACCTAAGTCTTTTTCCCATATTGATACCGAATGGCGAGTTGAAATGAATGAATTATGGTTAATAGACTGACCACTGAGACTTAGGCACACACAAACATACATCGATAAATAGAGGGACGGGCAAACAGAATCAAACTCTGGATTCACCGACCGGCTGCTTGTTTGAGTATCCGTGGTAGCTTTAGTCGGTGGTTTTTCATACTAAAAAATTCAGGTACATGGGTGAAGCATACAACACTCGTCTAACATGCGGTCCAGTTGACCTAGGGATTCACGTACGGGGCAAACATCAATGTGAGTGTATGCGGAGCGCAAATAGTCTGTGGGCACGATAAGCCATGAGGATGAGTGAGGGAAAGAACAGAGAGAGAGAGAGATTGCTATGCTAATCGTGATTCGTGAAAATACATGGACCATTAAACAACGGAATTTTAAATTTTATCTGTTTGAAACATAATTTCCGTTATTATTCATGTGTGTAGTTCCTCTGAGACTAAAAAATGTTCTATTGTCTTAGCTAATGTGCATATTGATGATTTTCTCCATGTTTCATGAAAGGATTTTTCGCATCTTAATGTTAACTCCATACTTTTTTCTATTACTTGGTAATTTCTACTGCGTTGTCATCATTACACTGTCACTCGATCTCTGTGATTTCGCATGATCCCGGCCCCCTTGTCACTGACCATTATGCTAAGTCCGCGTATACACCTCTCCATTTCTATCCTCAGTTATTTATCCTCCAACTTGTTATCTTACCTGACGTTCTCTGTGCACCCTGTGTGCATGTGTGCGTGTATCCGTTCATTGTTGAAAAGAAGTCGAAAGAAGTTTATGTGTTTCCGTGCTCGCATCAGATAAAGCTTGAGTGGATGACACTGACCAAATGGGCGAGTTCTTTGACTTTGGAACTGGAAAGAATACGAAGACTATTAGGTTCGACAAAATTACCGTAATATGAATTTCAAGTGCACATATATCCGCACAAAAACAGATAATACACACATACATCCATCATATGTGCAGAAAGTGAAGCATTTTCCAATAGAAACACTCAGCCCATTCGGTTTTAGGTTCTGTCCGAGTGATGCTTGATTTTGTCTGTGATCAGTCTTCTTCCAGCTGTTTTCTCTTTGGTCTCGTCGATGTTCAGGTTATTGCACTCGCCTGTTTCACACACCCACGTTTTAATCGTCTGTGAAAATGCGAAGGGGGGATTTAAACAGGCACACAATTGTAGACAAACGAATAGGCATTTGGATACGCTTGTCAGTTTACACATCAAAAAGTGAAGTGTTGTAACCAGTGCTTATTGCAGTAGAGCGCATCTTCCTCAACACCCTTCCAAAGGCATATACCACTAGTTGGACGCTATTTTGTAAAAGGAAAGAATGTCATTGTCATTTATTTTGGTATATATACATATTGCAATAATATATATGGTAATATGCGATATATACGTGGTAATCTGTCCTGTTTGATTACTAACCTCTAGTATTTTTTAACGAAATAGCCCATGATCTTTGAAGTGATAGCATATTGAATCTTGAAGAATCACAGTGGAATGGGATGCCACGGTTGAAACACAAAGTTCTTTTTGTTTCAAGGCCAAATAACGGGTATGTATCGAAATGATTTGTAATCACTTGTGCTTAGATTTCGGACACGTGAGGGCGTCTATCAGTCAGAGTGAAAATAGTTCTAGGTTAAGGTTGTGCATCATTAACAACCACATATGTGATTTCTCATGCTGTGGTTAAACTCCTTTCAGAAGTAGCGTGCACCCATGTTACCATCATTTTTCCTTTTGTTCCTCCATAGTTACCGTTCCCTTCTCGTCCCTATATGCAGATCTGCCAAAGTAGTTTGACTCTCTACTGACCACAAGTCATTTCTCCACCCGCAGCAAATCATCACCACCATGACTAGATTGCAGGATCTAAAATAAAACCGCATTGGCTACCCAACGCAGCACAGATACCAAGACTTTTGTTGGTCACACACGGTTTTGACGTAACGAGTGTAGTGTTATCTGTTTTCCAGCAATCAAGGTGCACAAAGGAACAGGTTGGTTGAACAGTGTTCAGACAAGACTCGTCCTCCCTCCTGCAGTGTCCTCTCCTTTCTCCCTGTAATGTCGCTACCACCTCACACCATCTGACACACCTATCGCTGCTATTCTTTTGACCCGGTTTGGAGACGTTTGCAAAGATCATCCTTACAGACAGTTATTGATCACTATTGTCACGTGAATATTGTCTCTTGGTCATTGCCTGCTTCTGGGTACTATACACACTGAATAATGTTGGTTAGAAACTGGGTATTGGATGATAATTTTGCATTCAGGTCCATCACTTAATTTAGACCATGGTTAACTTGGTTCATTCAGTTCCATTGAGGTAAAACACAACTGAGACCTTGCATTTGGCCTAATGTTTGGCATCGTCTGACTAGCCGTACATTCCATTCTTGAAACAGTCAGCAGGATAATAGGTCAATTCACTCTCTTCAGTTGGCACTCAAGCTGGTTTGGTGCCACGAGAAGCAAACACTTTTTTATCTTAGATTTCCTCGTTAATGACCGATGGTTCTATTTTCAACTGGATTGTTTTACGTGCACATTCATCATTTTTGTTATTATCATAGTTGCCCGTAGTTTAGATCTGTATTATCATCATCTGAATGTCCAACAGTATTTGTGTGAATCCATCCTTATTCGTTTTCGTTTTTTGTTCTTTAAGACGGGGTGATAGAAATTAATTAAGTGAATCGTTCATTAATTGATAAAGATAATGCATGTTATGGGCAGGGATAGGCCTAAAAAAGATTTTGGAATATTAAACAATCTATTCTATCGCAGTGATGGTTGAAAGAAATATGAATCAAACTTCTTTTGTGACGTTTTCGTCTTTGTCCCCATGTATGCTGCATATTTTAGCGGACCCTCCACGAAAGCGTATTGACAGTTTGAAGCTCACTTTGAACGGATCCTCTCGGCTTTCGTTGGGAAATTTGAGTGAAGGCTCCCCGCTCTCCGGTCGACGAGGTTTAGCTGTACAGAAATTGTAAGTCTTGCTTTCGGTTTCTCCGAATCTGATTAATGTTGTTTATATCTCTGGTAAGCAGATCTCATTTGTTATTAGAATTTCAAAAGAAGACTGAACATGCTTGGTGCACTGTGGCACTGATTACTTGGTCAGATATGGTGTCGTCGGTCAATTTACTTACCTGTTCACAGTCAATAATTTATTGAAGTAACCTTATACACCCCATAGCTATTAACAGAACAATTATTACTTTTGGCTTTAGTACCTGGGTGGCACCTAACTTGTCTGACGTTCAGTTCAGTTCACTTTTTACGACCATCAACTGTGTTGTCGTGCGCTGTTTTTGCTTGCTGTCTTTTGGCCGCCCATTTGGATAAAAGAGCAGAATGAAGATTGAAATGTTGAAAGCCTGGTATATAATGTGGACAACAAAATGCTGGAAGCAGTGTGAATGTGACTATCCGCCAAAGCAGAAGCTTAGTGGTGCATGAATCGACTGTCAAACTGATGTGATGACTACAAGAATTGAACGGAACATAGACTAAATCAACGTGCGTCTCATTTGACTCCTACTCGGAGTTTTCATGTATGCATCGACGGAGATTCCCGGTTTATATTTTATCATCTGTATAGATGGACCTGTTTAATGCACCTATTTGGTCAAACTCTCATGCTGTTATTTGTTTCGTATACGAAATACCAAATATAACCCGTCTTTTCTGTTTGTTCTTCAACTTCATATTCCCGAAGGGTAATGGACATTGTCCAAGACCTGTGTGCCGATTTACAAAACCCATTGTGAAATTCTTTTTCCACGCGCATAGATAGGTTCGTTTCGTCTCTCCCACCGATTGTTACTCGGACAGACGTTTTTCTTAGCTTCTTCTTCCTTCCTTGTGTTCCAATCGTTTCATTTCCAAATTGCTTCCCGTTCTTTCCCTCGTGGCACCAATGCGTGAGTACCATTTTAGATATCTGACCACACCTAAGCAAAGAATCACAGATGCACTTTCCAAACATATGCACCATCTCGTCGTTTTTCGTTCACATGATTCTCTCAGTTCTTTTGCATGTCTGTATGGGTATGGATTAGATTTTCAATCTGTCCTTGTCTGTCCATTTTGTGGGGCAACCGGAGGCGTCCACTGACAATAAGTTTTGTGTCGACTCAATATTCCCGTCCTGTCCCATTCAGTTCTGTCTCTTTATCACACCCAGAGTGTTTCCCGATGCTGCGTTCGCAACCGCATAATCTGTTCTGCAGTTTCCACTAACCACTCCGGTGACTAGGTATATCGGAACTGTAGTAGACAAGCTTTTGGCAGAATCCCATGGACCATTTCTGCACGTTCTCAATGCTGCAATTTCCCCCCGTAATACCAGTGATGTAAGGAGATGAGCTTCGGAATAAGGTTTATGACGGTCTCTTCCAGCTTCTCGTTATTCGCTAATGCGCTACTCTCAGAAGCAGTTGAAAGCATTAAATAGAGCGATATGTCACCGCACATTGTGCGCGGTTAGATAATGCATATTAGATCTGCAGTTTCACGACTCCCTTGTTCATTCGCACCCGTTTAATTTAGGTTCACCGGTTCTCTTAGTTGATTAGATTTTTCAAATTTTGTGTTTTGAGGCGAGACTGTAAGAGGAAAGTTCCACACAATCACGTCATTGATGCTGTGAGTGGAGTACACGTAATCGCTTGTTCTACTTTCCTCTCTCTCTCAATATATATATATATATATATATATATATATATATATATAT